AGTTTAGACAATGGCATAGAAAGCCAAGAGCTTGAGAGGTTATTAATGAACACCTAACATTTAACAACGCACCTAAAGATCACGTAACCGAAGAAAAGTTGATGCCCGCGTTAACAGTAGACACAGTGCATGTGGTGTAACGCAACCAAGCGGCTAAGCAGGTTGGACAAAATAACACGCACATTTCGATCTAGCATTTCCTGCCTCTAGCTCATTTACAGGAGTAGGACACATGCCTTGTGAATGCTAGGTCCTTCTAGGTCCCATCCACTACCTCACCTAGGAATCTCTGCACAAGCCAAGTCCACGGCCCACACATAGTAGTTGCTTGAGAAAAGTGTGTTTAATGGATTGGATGAACATTTGTAGGCAAGTAGTTAAGCAGCATAATCATATGTTTAATAGGTTTATAAAATCCAGGGCTGTAAAATGCCACCACCGTTGCATCTAGGCAGACAATCTGAGCTTACCCTGCTTTGATCATGGACATGCTCTACACTCTGTTTTCACTGGGGGGGAAGCAAACAAAAAACAAAAACATAGAACAGATGTTTTCCTTAAGTATCAATCTGTGATCAAAGATGATCTTGTACCTTGGGCAAGGTAACACCATATTTAAATTCTCATGAAATATTAAATATTCCTAAAAACATTGAACATATTTCTCAGATTTTAGTTGATACTTAAAACATGTTTGGACTTTGTCTTTTGACACAGGGAAGGGAATGAGGTAGTGGCAAGAAAAGGATGATCAAAATAACTTCCCGTCTGAGTTGGCAACTTCTGTAAATTGGCCTGACCTTCAATAGTTCAGGGTTAAAGTTCTGTGATGCCACCTGGATAAATGGTATTTTAGAGAGTTATTGTAAATTCTTCCAGGATGCTTGGAGCAGTCATCTCCTCCTGTAGGATCTCAGGCACGTGCTGTCCTCTCCCAGCGGCCTCTCTTCACTTCCTTTCTCCCCCTTTTCCTCCTCCCAGCTCAGTAACAGTCACCTCACACAATATCACCGGTGAGGGTTCATTAATGCTCCCTGACACCATCACTTGACTCAGTGCTCTGCACTCATTGCCTCATTTAATTCTCTCACCAGCGTAAGGAAGAAGGGTTCATTCTCCCCATCTTATAAACAAGAAAAACAAAACATAGAGGAAAAGTGACTTGGCCCAGATCCCATGCCGAGTGGGTGGCTGAGCCAGCCCTGGTCACAAGCAAATCCAATCACCCACAACTTCGACTTAATTATCAATACCCAATTTCCCCGGGAGTATGGTCTTTGGCCCCCTATGTCCTTTTCCCCTCTTCACACGTACTTGGTAAATTCTTCCTTTGTTCTCATAATCCAACTTATGTTCCATTTGGTGTTCAACCACCCAAACACTAAATCAATGATTTGAATGGTCATTGGCTCAAAATGCACAAGGTATTACCTTGAACTCATCATATTCCATACTTGTCTGATAATCTTTTTTTTATTCCAAAAATTGTGTGTGGGATATTGTGGCTAAGAACCCAACAGCCCGCCTACCAAACAGACCTTATCTACATTGTCAGTGAGGGGTTCAGGGAATGGAGTGTAGGGCAGGGTGCTAAGTCAGTCTGGGCCAGTAATATATGAAGAGAGGATTTCTGGCAGTTCCTAGGAAAGAAACACTGTTCACCTTTAGTGCATCGGGCTGTGTCTACCACTGGACACAAATAAGGAAGAGGTTAGACACAGCCTCTGTTGACAGCCATCTTATAACCTGCAGGGGAACCAGTCTAACGCTGCGGGTGACACGTCCAAAGCCCAGAAGGAACTGAGTCCGTAATGACACTGGAAGTTACCGAATCAACCAAACCTAGTCTGACTCGTCTCAAGGCCACCTGTCACGTGAGCTAACAGGTTTTCTTCATGCTCAAGCCAGCTGAAGTGGGCATATTTGATACTTGCAGCCCAAAGCATCATAACTAACAAAGATTTAAGTCTTTCTCCATTTACATAGACCTGAGTCCTTGAGGACAATTTTTAATATTCCCAGGCTTCTGTTGATGTAAAAAATGATACCAACATTGCCTGCATCTTTTAGTTCAGCGATTCTTCTTTATTAAACACCCCTGGAACTGTGGTTCTCAGCCAGCGTGATTCTGCCCCCTCCAAGGGGGCATCTGGCCTCGTTGAGAGTTGTTCTGCTTATCACAGCTGAGGAAGAGGGGCTGTTAGTTTCCAGAGGACAGAGGTGAAGGATGCCTGCTAAACAGCCTACAGTACACAGGACAGCCCTGCAACAATGGCTTACCCATCCCCGAACGGCAGCAGTGCCCAGGTTCAGAAACTTTCTCTGGAAGGATGCGCAACACGTGGGTAGTTATAGCTGCCTCAGTGGAGGGGGAATGGGTGGCGGAAACAGAAGGGTATCAGATGTAAAACATTTACTTTAAAATAAATCATTAAATTAATTAGAAAGTATTTATAAAGGTGGGGACTTTTTAAATAAAAAAATTGGGACACACGTGCCATTTTTCTTATTTGAAATCCTATGTATTTCTTTTCCTGCATGACAATACCTTCCTATATCCAGACACCTGTCCTAGGATTACACCAAATGCCCTACTAATCTCGCTTCTCAGATGTCTCCCCCTAAAACTCATTTCCCCCACACTAGTTCTTTGCTCAAAAACTTGATGGCTGTGGGGGTCCACCATAACAAGTCCAGGTACTTTTCCCGCCCCTCAAATTCTAGCTCCATTCCTGACTGTCCCACAGTATTCCTACCTGACAACGTCGTATGTAATTTAATTTCAAACTCTAGACAAAATCTCATTTATTTCATCATCTTTCTCTAATTACCTCAGCTCATGAGCTCTATTTTTTTCCTTTTATCATATTTAGCACCAGAGGATTCAATGAAATAAAATAATCTGAAAGTCACTCAGCATCAAGACCTCCTTCACAGATAGTAAAGTCCACAATGGATGTTAAAGGACTCATTTTATTCTGTTTTTCCACTGTCCACAGAATCTACCACAGTAGTAGGCACAATGGTGTTCAAAATACTTGCTAAGAGACACACACACACACACACACACACACACACAGGCCTGTTGGCTCTCCAACTAAGAAGGCAAAGTTAATTTTAAACAAGAGATAGAGATGTGAAAAAGAGAAGAAAGAAAAATGATCCTTAACACTTGTAACATAGATATAACAGATAAATCATCATCTCTATCTATAATTCTCAGAGAACCACGCCACCTGATCTTGAATTTCCAATTATGTTTCATGGGAGGTTAACAAGCATTCCAGAGAGAAGAGTTCCATGGTCAACTTAATTTGGAAAATGAGTTAAACATAATGAAATGTACTTCTTTACTGCATAGCATCTCAGAACATGCCGGTGCTAACATCTAAGTGAGGGGAGAAAGCATGCTTTGTTTTCCAAACGTGTATCTCTCAGACATTTTTGAAGGATATTCATCCCTGACATATAGATTTAGAAATGCTGAGCTAGACGAATGCTTCCATTTTCCAAATGAAGAAACTGACACCCACAGGCCACCTTCACCAATGAGTCAGAGAACCAGGAGCCGAAGCCAGTTTTCCTGCCATGAACTCTGTTCTTATTTCATTTATTTTGTGACCTCAACTCTCTTTCAGCACCTCCCAGTGTTGGACTCTGCCACCCACACATGCACGCTTCCACTTTCAAATCCTGTGTGACCAGCTGAGCATGCTGACTCCCATTTGCTAGATGGTAAAACTGAGGCCTCAGAGAGGATTAGGGACTTGGTCAGACCCACGGCTGCAGTGGGTCATGAAGTTCTTCATGAATCCACATTAACTCTATTCTAATCTACCGCTCTCAGCACATTGCTCTTTCTTCTCACTGTAGAAAGGACTTGTTGATTAAGGCCGGGTATGGGAAGATATAATCTACTGCCCTGGCATCATGTTAAAACTGGGAGCCCGAGATTTGCAGATACACACCACTAAATATAAAAGAGATAAACAAGTTTATATTGTATAGCACAGGGAACTATATCAATTATCTTGTAGTAATCTAGAATGAAAAAGAATATGAAAAGGAATATATGTATGCTCCCGTATGACTGAAGCATCGTGCTGTACACCAGAAACTGACACAACATTGTAAACTGACTATACTTCAATTAAAAACAAAAACCCACAGAAGTCTCAGAATACTATTAAATACTTCACTTCATGGGATACACATTTAAACAAAAATTTATTACCTAGACTAAAGGGGGTATTAAAGCAAGGAGACTTCTGAAGAACTCTCTGGTCCAAATTCTTCATTTCAGTAAAAGAATCTGACATGCAAAAAGGAGACAAAACTTACAGAGAAAGTGGCAGAGGCAGCTTTTGAACAGGGCACCCGGGCAGAAGACTGCTTAGCTTTCTCCCCGTACCAGCTGTGTGACCTCAGGCAAGTCGCCTCACCTTGCTGACACGCTTCCTTTCCTAAAAAGTCAGGCTGGTCCTATCTAGCGCTGAGTGTGAAGATTAAGGGAAACAAAGTAAAAGGCGAGTTAACATGCTCAATAATAGTAGTTATTAAAGTCACTGCTACTGTTATTACCTTTGTTTCTTCCAAAATATTTTTAAAATTGAAGTATAGTCAATTTACAACGTGTTTCTGGTGTACAGTACAGTGATTCTGTTATACAGATACACATATATGTCTTTTCATACTCTTTTTCATTATAGCCCATTACAAGCCATAGCACATAGTTGCCTGTGCTATGCAGTAGGACTTTTCTGTTCATCTGTTTTATAAATAGTGGTGTGTATCTGCAAATCTTCAACTCCCAATTTATCTCTTCCCACCCCTTATTCCCCCTCGTAGCCATAAGTTTGTTTTCTATGTTGGTAAGTCTATTCCTATTTTGTAAATAAGTTCATTTGTGTCATTTTTTTTTAAAGATTCCATATTTAAGTGATATTATACAGTATTTTTTCTTTCTCTTTCTGGCTTATTTCACTTAGTATGACATCTCCAAAAATACGGAACACTTTGTGAATTTGTGTGTCATCCTTGCACAGGGGCCACGCGAACCTTCTCTGTATCCTTCCAACTTTAGTACCTGTGCTGCCGAAGCGAGCCCTATTATTACCTCGATGTGTATACATGTGGAACTCCTAACTCAGAATAATACTGAAAATTATCATCATCACCATGACCTCCTGACGAAACATCCCAGGGTCTGTACTCATGGAGAAACTGTTGTCCTTGTCTAGTGGAGTTACTTTTTCTTTGGCCTTTGAAAAAGCTTCCTTTTACCTTTTCTGGCCAAGAGTAAAACCACTGTGACCTTTATTTTTCTTTTGCTAGTTCATCTGCTGCTGCCAACAGGCCAGCACTGAGTTTATTTCAAACTTGCTGGATACAAAACTCCAGTGTCTTCATGGGCCAAACAACAGTGAGCGGTGACGCCTAGGACTGATGGGACTATACACAGTTACCTGAAAACCTTCAAATTCAACACAATGAAGACAAAAGGATGGCAAACACTGCCTGTGATGTCCTTGTGTGGGGGCTGAACCGGAGATGCCCAGTAAGGCAGAGTGAGCTATTTTTACTTTCCACCCTAGAGAAACGGCCTTTTCTTTTTTCCCCAAACCCTTGAGAGATCCTTCTTCCAGTCCCAAGACAACTGTCACTACAAGATCGTCCTGTCCCCAATCTGTACTGGGTGGTGACAATTCAGAAGCTTCTACTTTCAGTGAATGAACAAAGTGTTTCCTCAGGGCGCCCCCTGGCCTAAGTAACCAGCTCCTTGTTAACTTGCCACTGAGGGCCTCTCCTCACTTCATGTTTACACACGCATCTTGCTCCTCAAAGAAGAGATTTAATTCAGAAAAATCCCTCTTCCCTGGAGTACACCCAGCTGAGCTTTCCAAGCTGCTTCCTGAAGAGATGCTGTTATAATCTCTTAAATCCTTTAACAACGAAATTGCAGTGGAAATGAAGCCAGTCCGCCCGTCAGACTGACTCCATAGGGTCTACCAGAGTTTGTGGAAATTTTCCTGCTATCACAGAACAACCATTTCAGTGGCCATTTTTTGGCCACTTGTCCTCAAAGTAAAGCCATAGAAGTAGATTCAGCAACTGGTGCTTCAGCGCACCAAAGAACATCTCTGTGTCTCGCTGGATATGACAGACATCACCTACAATAGGAGCACTTGAGTACTTCACTACGTGTCTGGGCCTTGGTCCAGCCTCTTACTTTTATTATCCTGTTTAATCTTCACAACAAACCCATATGTTAGGTATTATTATTACTATCTCTAGTTTGCAGAGAGGGACACTGGTTCAAAAACAGTTAGCAAACTGCCCGAGGTAAAGATGTCCAAACTTTAAATGGATTAGACCCACAGCACATGCATTCCACAGCGGTGCCATGTTGTCTGAAGTCTCCAGATTAACACTCTAAGTCTAAGTCTAGAGTCTTTTCTCACTGAACTTTTTTTTATAAAAAAGACCTGAAGTCACATGATACTTCAAACTGCGTAGCGCTTAGCAAGGGTTTGGTGAGTGAATGCATGGATTCTCTTGCATTTTTCCTTCGTCTAGATCAGTGGTTGTTAAAGGGGGCACTTGGCCGACTTTCTCCGAGTGTTATGACCAGTGTATGGGGGGTTGTTACTCACATCTACTGGGTAAAGGCCAGCGATCCTACAGTGCACAGAAGAGCCTCTGACAATAAGAATTTTCCAGCCCCAAATGCCAATTAGTGCTGAGGTTGAGAAAGCTGGTTGATGAAGTTAGCTAGGGTTCCGGCTGGTATTATAAAAGCAGTTTCTGCCTGGAGAAGTTTCTTACAATCAGATTCTTCCCTGGTTTCTAGATCCATGACCTGGTCTTGCCTTCATCCAGACTTTAGTCTTTTGTCTCCACCTTGGATACTTGCCTCTATCTTTCTGAATTCACATACCAAGGTGATATGGTCTGCAAGTTCTAATCTTAAGAGATGGGGGACGGGGGACTCTGACTCAGCTCTCCTGGTCTGGAATCCTCACTCTGCAGTTGCCCCTGATTTGCTGTGATAATCCGGACAAATCTTTACTTTGAGTCAGTGTGCTGCAAGGCTGCCAAGCAGAAGTCACGATGTGGGTTATTATTACAAAGAGACGGCATAGACAAAAGGCTCAGGCTTGCTCTAAATCAGAGCAGGCGTGCTGGTTGGGTACCTTATTAGCTTTAAGACAAGTTACTCCATATCTCTGAGGCTCACTTTTCTTTTTCTTATTGGAATATAGGAGTAGTACCCACTTCACTGGGTTGCTGGGAGCATTATGTGAACTAATATGTGTAATGCATATTACCTGACAGTATATGAAAAAGTACTTAATTTTTTTTTTCCTGAAAAGCTGACTGCACTCCTATAAGCTGGTTCCAGAAAGTCAAGTTACACTCATATAATGCAGATTAATCATTCTGATAAACTCTTGCATTTAGACGGAGTTTAATATATCCAGTGCAAATGAAACCACCTTGAAAGGCAAGCCAGCTATTATATATAGGTGAAACCGTTGTATTAAGGCAAAAAGGAGTGGCAGGGGGTGTGTCAATCTGAGGAATGATATACTTTGCCGAAAACATTAAAAAAACCCGTGAAATCCTTTGCTCCATCCCCCCCACACACACACATGCATACACACACCCTCCAAACTGGACCTGCTGCCTTACAATTTGTGAACTGCTTCCCAAAGTTTCAATAACTTAGTTACAAAAGTGTCCTCTTTGTCATATATAAGCTACATACAGTCATTTGCCTAAGGAAAAGACGTTCAAAATTTAAGTGGATTTGACCCGGAGAAATCTGCAAAGCTAAATACAACAGAAGTCACCTTTCCAGACACATGATGTGATCCTGTGACCAGTTTCGCATACAGCAAATTCTCTCCCTTCCTCTCAATCCTTCTGACACGAACGATTTGGCAATGCATTTTGGAACCTCTGTGAGCACTTTTTAGTGTGGCTTGTATTTAAAGTTTAAAGTATTTGGGGGGATGGGGAGAATGCATGCTTTATACCACCAAGTTTACTGGGGAGGGGAGGAAATAATTTTTTTTTCTAACTTTGCCATTAATATTCTGTCTACTGCTTTGATCAACCCATCTTGAAATACACAATTTTAAAGATTCACTAGCCTTTGAAACCTTTGGCATTTCATTAAAGGCAAATGTTTGCCCTGATGATTAAAACCTATTCCTTAACCAGCATATCATGAAAATTCAGCAGAAGCCTAGCATAATGCTAGTCACTTCAAGGAATACAGTATCAAGCTGTATGACATTATCTTAGCCCTCGGATAATAGCACGCTGTTGGGGAAAGAGATGAGACTTTAGAAAGATATAGATCTGGTTTAATTTCTGGTTCCCTCATTTGCCAACTCTATGACCTTTGGTGGGTTATGTAAGTTCCCTAAGGCTTCATTTCCTTCTATGTAAAATGTGCGTGTCATGATTTGTACTTTATAGGATTGCTATAAAGTAGATTAAATGGCATATGCAAGGGGAGCGGAGTCTCTGCCATACTTCAGGGGCTCCATAAATGTTACATCTCGTTTTCCTTTCCTTGCAATGCCTTCCTCCACTGCCCTCCATCCAGGCTAGGGACTTCATTTACGATCCCGGCAAGACTAACACATCTTTGAAAAAACGCCTTCCAACAGAAATCCAAGAATCATCATCACTTCCTCTCTTTCTCTCCCTCTTCTACTCCCAGGGGCTGTCTCAGCAGCACCAGCCAAGCTCCTCCAAAATACGTTTCAAATCTCTCACCTCTCCATCTTCTCTGCCAGCATCCCATTCAGAGGCGCCGTCATCTCTTGCCCAAACCACTAAGCCGGTCCCTCTGTGATCTCCCTGTTCCCACTGGTGTTCCCTCCTATGGTCCGTTTGTTTACACACCCGTCATGAACACAATAAATATCCTTTCTCAGCTTAAAAATTTTTCCTGATTCCCAAGCTTCTTCAGGATAAACGCCCAGCATCACCTACACAGACGTGCTTGTGGTTGCTGCACTCAGCTTGTCTCTCTCCTTTCCTTCCTCCTCTCGCTGTATTAGCCTTCTTCCTGCCCCTTGCTCACGTCAAGCTTTCTGCCCTAGAACCTCTGCATTCACATTCCTTTGGTTTGAAACCTCCTGCTCCCTGCTCTTGCCGTGGCTAGCTTCCTTGGGTCTCAGAAATGGCTTCTATAACACCAATATCGAAGTTAGACTCTCCTCTGTAATCGGTCACCATCTCAGCACGCTTTGCTTTCCCCATAGCCCTTAAAACAATCACTACTTACTTGTTTTTGTGTTGTTTAGCCTCACCACCACCCCCGCCCCCAACTAGATTATTAATTCTGTGGGAACAAGAAAATATTTATCCTTCAAAAAACTATCCCTAACTCATAGTATCTTGCCTATCACGCAGGGGATGCTCAATACATCTCTGTGGGGAAAGTAAATAGCTGACTGCCATCAAAATGATGCATGACCACCATGCTGAGAGCAAGGCAACTGGGTAAATACTACACTTCTGCATTTCTGGTTCCACCATGGAGAATGTGGCCGTCGGGATTTGATCTGCACTTTGGAATGTGGTGAGAAAAAGCAGCAAAGTGTGATGCAGTGTGAGGATCAATGAATACTTGTTAAATGAATCGTGAGTTTAAGGTCCACCCAGGCACAGAAGAATTTACGCTTCAGGATTCTCATATAAGTATTCAGGGAGGAACAGAAGTCAAATTTCTATTTAAATGATATGGCTTACACACAAAAAGGGAAGACATCCTTGGAAGACAGCCAATCTCTGCCACAGGTCTAAAGATGGACAAGAGAAATGAAACAAAAAACATCTGGTGTACCAATTACCTCCCCTAGAGAGAAAGTTGTAATTCTTACTCTCCCTTAAAAAAGCAGAGAACTCATAAGTTAAAAAAAAATAATGAATAATAATAGCTTCTACCATTTGAGGATGCCGCATGACCCAGGGACTGAGCTAAGGGCTTTCCATACACTGTTTCTGCTTTATCTTTAGCTGTACCTACTTTGGGATAATTCGACAATGTGATCTCACAGTTAAGCATATGCACTTTGGAGTCAGGGA